GGAACATTCATAGTGGGAGGGTATAAATATGTGTTACCTCTGAATTGTGCCGTTCATCCGCTCCACCAAGCCATTTGTTTATGGATGGTACGGTGAACACAGGCTTCCTTGAATGTTTAGCATTTCACAGATGTTTTTGTTGAGCTGCACAAACAAGTTAAACAACTTGAGTGTAGTACATTTCAATATGAAGTAAACCATACACAGGGGTTAATAAATTAAATATAAAGAGGTGATCATTCTCACAGTAATGTTCTGTATAGTATTGTATAAACTGAACAGTGGGGAAACATAATGGCATTGTTAGAATTATCAGAACACTGGTATATTCAACTGAATGTGCTACTTTTGTAAGCCAAGAGTTTGTAAAAAGTCCAGCCATGTACCAAAAACTTACATCATGAAAAAGAACAATCTTAGATAAAAATTCAGATTTTTTTTTTTCTGTGCAATTCCATTGGGGAATTGTTTCCATGACTTTGCAAAAAACTTAATTAATAGAAATGGTATAAGTCAGCATCCAGGAATAATGTCAACTGAGGTACTTACCAAATTGGCAAATTCTCGTCCCTGGTCAGTGAGAATCCGTTTTGGAGATTCAAACTGATACACCAATTTGATTTAGCAGCTTGTCACAACAGGTAAGCCTGTGGCCATTTGGTGATTAAAATAAATCAGTTTAATTGTCGTAATTTTATGAAATGGGTCTCTTATTTTTACCGATCCATTTAATGATAACTACTGCCATCCCAGGGTAGTAGAACCGCTTAGAAATGGCTTCAACTGTTTGTTTGTTTGTTTGTTTTTTGTCCACAATGCGCTCCAGTAGGACTGGCATGAAAATCAAATTAGCCTCTTCTGTCCCACACACCACCTTGGTTTTGACGGACCTAGCCGTGCCTTTGTGACGCACGTACACCAACTGGGCTCCTAAATACAAAATAAAACAATACATAACATACAATGTCATATTTATCATAACCTTATATGAATGGAAAATACTTTTTGTGGATGCCATTCATGCACCCCCTCATCTTCTTTGCTAAGTTAAATTAATTAAGATACGGACTAATGAGTAATTTCTCCAATGCTTCCTTAGAGGCGTAAGATGGAAAATAATCAACCCCCCCCGTCTCTTAATGCGTAAAACTTAACTGTAATTTGTTTTCTTATTATTTTCGCAGGTAGTGACAACTTTTATAGCTTACCTTCAATGTCGTACAGTGATGCTTTCCATCGAAGAAGACATTTTTCTTTCTTTGTAAAAGAAGGTGGATATTCCCCTTTTAATTTATAGGCTACCACGCATTTGTATTCCTCTTTATCCATTACAGAACTTTTCTCAGTATTACTAAGATGTAATAAACAAATTTGAGCGGTTTCTGTTTTTAGCTGATAAAGGTACAGGTAATCCTCTCTACACTGATGTATTTCTGACTTTTCGTCATCTGGGGTCATGAGGATGTCATGGTGCCTTTGTGTTGTGTTTGGTTTATATTGCTGGTCATTTGGACCCACACAGTTTA